TATTGTTTTTATGACTATAGCTCTGTAGTACAGCTTAAAATCTGATGTAGTAATCCCCCCAGCATTGCTCTTAGTTCTCAGGGTTGTTTTGGCTATCCAGTGTCTCTTGTGCTTCCATATGAATCTTAGGATAGATTTTTCCAGTTCTGTGAAAAATGTCATGGGGATTTTGATTGGCATTGCGTTGAATCTATATATGACTCTTGGTAGGATGGTCATTTTCACAATATTAATTCTTCCAATCCATGAGCATGGGAGGTCCTTCCATCTTCTGATGTCTTCTTTGATTTCTTTCTTTAAAGAGTTAAAATTTTCCTTGTGGAGCTCTTTAATGTCTTTGGTCAGGTTTATTCCAAGGTCTTTTTTTGTGGCTATTGTGAATGGGAGGGTTTCCCTGTGCTCTTTCTCTGACTGCTTGTCATTGGTATATAGAAAGGCTATAGACTTTTGTAGGTTAATTTTGTAACCTGCCACTTTACTGAATGTGTTAATAATTTCTAGGAGTTTGCGCGTGGAATTTTTAGCGTCCCTTAGATATAATATCATATCATCTGCAAAAAGGGATAATTTGAGCTCTTCTTTTCCAATTATTACTCCTTTAATTTCCTTCTCTTGTCTTATTGCTCTTGCAAGAGTTTCAAGTACTCTGTTAAAGAGAAGTGGGTATAATGGATAGCCTTGTCTGGTTCCTGATTTCAACGGGAATGTTTCCAGTTTTTCTCCACTTAGAATGATGTTGGCTGTGGGTTTGTTATATATGGCTTTAATTATGTTGAGGTATGTTCCCTCCAGTCCAATTCCCTCTAGGACTTTGAACATAAATGCATGTTGAATTTTGTCAAAGGCCTTCTCTGCATCTATTGAGATGACCATATGGTTCTTATCTTTGAGTCCATTTATAGGATTTATGACATTTATTGACTTACACATATTAAACCATCCCTGTATCTCTGGGATAAGCCAACCTGATCATGGTGGATGATCCTTTTGATGTGTGTCTGTATGTGGTTTGCAAGTATCTTGTTGAGAATTTTTGCATCTATGTTCATTAAGGATATGGGTCTATAGTTCTCTTTCTGGTTGTATCTTTACCTGGCTTTGGTATTAGGGTGATGCTGGCTTCATAGAAGGAATTTGGAAGTTCTTCCTCCATATATATTTTTTTGAATGAGTTAAGTAGTATTGGATGCAGATCTTCTTTAAATGTCTGATATAATTCTGCTGTAAATCCATCTGGTCCTGGGCTTTTTTTAGTCGGGAGGTTTTGTATTACTGTTTCAATTTCTTTTTGTGTTATGGGTCTGTTTAAGCTGTTAATCTCTTCTTGGTTTAGTTTTGGTGGTTCCCATGACTTTGGATATCCGTCCATTTCTTTTAGGTTTTCAAATTTAGTAGCATATAGGTTTTTAAAGTATCCCCTTATGAAATGCTTCTTCTAAGTATGTGGTTATTAAATAAATAATAAACTGAAAAAAAATTCCTCAAAGCATAAAAATTTGCTCCTTAATAATTTGTAGATGTGAAAAACAGTACCATTGAAATCTACCCAATGACTTTATATCCGTGCTCAGATGCCAAGGAGCTCAGAAATAACTGACTGTGACTAGTAATAATCAGATATATAGAGATTAGAAATGTATGTGCAAACATCTTAGTGTCAATTGCATTGAAATGAATTTTTCTGTTTGAAACTGTGTATTTTAATAATGAAATTGAGATCTTTTTTAAAGGTTGAAACCTCATTTAATTTTATGCCTTAAAGGGTTTATACTGAGTACAATATTATATAACTGTGTTAATTCAACTGTAAACCTAAAATTTTACAGCCAGTCTTGAAACAGATGCATCTTAGCTCTAGAAATTGTTATTTTATATGTCAGTGCTGTTGTCATGAAATGTTTCTTCTAATTATATGGTTATTTAATTTAAATTTTTTTTTTAAAAATCACCATCTTGATTTGATTTTTGTTGGTTTGTTTCTGCATATGGAAGATCTTGTTGAAATTATCTACTTTAGGTTTGTCATGTTTATAGTCTTTACTGAAATTACACTGAGTTATCTTATCCTTTAAGGGAGTAGTCAGTGACTCAAGGAAGGCTGGAATCTAAAGGTGGGTTTAAACCTAAATCATTCCTCCAGCAAAGCAACTTCTACAAACTTTGCACACTGAATCAAGAGATAAAATCCTAAAGCTCAGGAAGCAATCTCAGTTGACTGGTCCTGAGGATATTCATGAAATAGTCCTTTAAAGCTTCAGCTTCCTGGTGTTTATGGAAACCAAAACACATTCCTGGAACATTCCTACATCAAGAAGTCTATAATACTATTCCCTACGAAATCAGTCAGTTGGGGCTGAATGAGTAAGATTCAACTCCATGTGGTTAAAAAGCTGTAAGCACAAGCTGAATTTTTTTTTACTTTATTGTGTTATGTAAATAAAAAGTTCAAGGAAGACTTCTTGTATTCAATTCTCTTATGTTCTTTCAAATCCTTAGACAGAAGGATTTGAGTCCATTTTCAAATGACTTTTTCCAACAACTACATACCATACAACCTCTTAGGTTCAAACTCCTCTGGATAAACCAATATACTCTTTCTCCAAAAACCTCCCTGAATTCTCTGTTTTGTTTCATCCACTTTCATGGTTATGCAAAACACCTCAGGCTTGGAAATATAAAAAGTTATATACAAAGGTGTGAATACAGCTCACAGCTTGAGGCTGAAATAAAGCAGCATTTTACCAGCTCTGATGAAAAGCCTTCTTTGCATCACATCATGGGCAGAAGTACATGCTACAGGATGGGACCAGAGGAGGCCCAGAGAGATGCCCCAGGGGTACCACTCTTGATTTTTTATAGAAATTCTTTCTCAAGTACTAACCAGGGTCCCACAAAAGCTACTTCAATTCATTTTGAAGGCAAAATTCCAACAGCCTAAAGATCTCCTCCTCTTCCATGTCTTTCAAAAGCCCCATCACCATTGAACATATATTGAAGGTCAAGCTTCAAATGCATGAAACCATATCAAAACTCATTCAAATCATTGCAGCTCAGTTGAAACCTGAGGCTATCTCTATTTTCTGTGACCCCAATCACTTAACATCTTCATTCCCAGACCTCACAACAGAGCCCATTGCCGAGCACACAGGCAGAGAATGGGGAAGGGTGCTCTAGAGTAAAGCTGAGGTACTATTACTAAATTAGAGTCTAGAAATATTGATTATAAAAAACAGCTCTTAGCTATCTGAAGATGTGCTTCTCCAAATATAATGAGTTATTGTAAATGCACAGTCTTACCGCTTCTGCTTTCTGTAGGCTTGGAAGAGAAATAACACTCCTAGATATTTAGACCAGAGGGGAAAATGCATATCTTTACTTGAATGTTCATAATAGATTAATATGCAATGTCCAAAACTGTATGCTAATCAATTCATATTAATATTTAATGTAGATAAAGAAACTACAGTATAATCATAATCATGCAAAGGAATATATCTTGGCAGTATAAAGGAAAGACTTCTTGATGCACGAAACACTGCAGATGAACCTTAAAATAATTACACTGAGAGAAACTAGACAAAAATGCTCAAATATTGAATGAATCTTTGCATAAATTTCTAGAAAATTCAAATTAGCTTATAATGAGAGAAGACACTCCAAGATCAGTTATTGCCTGGGAAATGGCAGAGCGAGGGTTGAGGGAGGGTGGGGGGAGAAGAAAAGACTTACAGAGCTGCACAGGGAAAATTTTGGGAGTGGTCGATATGTTGAGCCCCTTGATGGGGGGTGGCATTTTTCTGGAGAAGAAAAGATAGTAAATATATTTTGCAGGTCTCTATTACAACTACTCAAGTCAGCCATTAGAGCATCAGACACCTACGGATAAAATGATGCAAAAAAAAAAATTTACAAAAAGAGGCAGTGGTCAAGTTGAATGTGGCAATTCTTTGCCAATTGTTGATTTTTATTATGGTGATTTCACAGGTATACATATGACAGAACTTATCAAATTGTGTTTACTGTGTGTCATTTCTTATATGTTAATGGCAACTTAATAAATAATTAAATATATATAAATACAATAGTGCATAAATATGTTAAAAATATAACAAATCTTAAGATTTTTATTATCTGACTGGGTGAAGTTTTAATCACCATGGTACACTTTCCTCCGCTTCCTGGCCTCAGTGTTGCTTCCCTCTCAAATCTATTGACATTCCCTGGTGGAACTTACCCTTCAGCATGTCAAACATGCTCATCATACCATTTCAAGTCTGCCTCTTTACTGGAGCTCTTGCTGTTCTCTCTCCATCTGGAATGGCCTATTCCTACCACCTTCTAATGCATATTCTTTAAGACCAAATGTCTAGGATGTTTTCCATCTTTCTTACCGTATTGCCTTTATCTGCTCTTGGTTAAGATATAAGCATTCTTTTCTCTACTTCATAACAGCCTTTGCATGTATATGTCTAGTGTGTGTGTGTGTGTGTGTGTGTGTGTGTGTGTGTGTGTGTGTGTAAAGAGAGAAACACAAATGTCTCAGATAACTAATAACATCAAAAGTTCACAATTCTCCATGTTTTCTATTGATATAATTATTTTATATAAGAAAAACTGATAGAGAAATTATGTTATGTGTGGTGGTATATGCCTTTAATATCAGCACTTGGGAGGCAGAGGCAGGAGAAATTCTATGGGATTGAAGTCAACCTGGTCTAGACAGCAAGTTCCAAGAAGTGTGGAACTACATGGAGACCCTGTCTTTAAGAAATTAGAGAAATAATGATAAACACTTGAATATCAACAGCCAAGCAATTATTTCAGAGCAATTCTCTATCTAATCTCAGATGTTTTCCATTAGCCTGTACAGGTTTTTTTAGGAGACTGCTGCACGGATTTCTGGTGGTCTCTAATGTCACTGCTCTTCCTCCATCTCCTAGATACACCAAGATGAAGACCGCCACCAACATCTACATTTTCAACCTTGCCTTGGCAGATGCCTTAGCAACCAGTACACTGCCATTCCAGAGCGTCAACTACCTGATGGGAACCTGGCCCTTTGGAACCATCCTCTGCAAGATTGTGATCTCCATAGATTACTACAACATGTTCACCAGCATATTCACCCTCTGCACTATGAGTGTGGATCGCTACATAGCCGTCTGCCACCCCGTCAAGGCACTAGATTTCCGTACCCCACGAAATGCCAAAATTGTCAACGTCTGCAACTGGATCCTTTCTTCTGCCATTGGTCTGCCTGTAATGTTCATGGCAACCACAAAATACAGGCATGGTAAGAGATGACACAAGCCCGGGAACGTGCTGGCTTGTAGCTCAATGAGTTAGTGATGTCCTGAGCCAAGTAGAATTCATAGAGTCGTCCAATACCATGGTCAACTGTACTTTAACAAAATGCCTTTAAGTATTTTGAATTAGGAAGATTTCCCTGTAATTATAAGCCCACTAAATATTTGAATGAGAATAAAATCCAAGTGTTCCTGATTTCTCTGTTCTTATCTCACAAAAATGTGTATAAATATGAACATACCCTCCAAAGCCATTAGAGCTTAAACTTTAGTGTTTCACTGAAGCTGGTTTTAAAATTTCAAGTGGCTACCTACCTAAAAAATTCATCTTTTCAGACCTAACAGCAGAATAACGAGTGGGGCCGTCTAGCGGTAGAGGGGAACTGTGCATTAGCTAGAGACTCCCAGGAACCTTGGACAATGGTTACATTTTTATAACAACATAAATCCCACAAAGTGTCTGATTCATTGTGAAACGTACTTAACTTTTCACTTAATAAGCTTAATGTGATCCAAGTGGGCAGAAAAAAAATGGGAAACAGAACAAAAAAAAAAAAGGAAAAAAAAAAGTAACAGTAACTTTCCCTCAAAAATCAACAATTGAATTTCTTCCTTATTTTATTTAACTCTTTTCTTATTGGACTGTGGAGTAAGAGCCTTCCCTTAGCTCTGATCAAGGCTATTAGTAAGTAAAGAGTAATTTTAATGCCTACAAATATAATCAAATATTACTGCTAATTTCCCATGAAAATTCTTTTCTCCTAGGTTCCATAGATTGCACCCTCACATTCTCCCACCCGACTTGGTACTGGGAAAACCTGCTGAAGATCTGTGTCTTCATCTTTGCATTCATCATGCCTGTCCTCATCATCACAGTGTGTTACGGATTGATGATCTTACGCCTAAAGAGCGTCCGCATGCTCTCGGGCTCCAAAGAAAAGGACAGGAACCTGCGTAGGATCACTAGGATGGTGCTCGTGGTTGTGGCTGTGTTTATCGTCTGCTGGACGCCCATTCACATCTATGTCATCATCAAAGCATTAATCACAATTCCAGAAACTACTTTTCAGACGGTCTCCTGGCACTTCTGCATTGCCCTGGGTTATACAAACAGCTGCCTGAACCCAGTCCTTTATGCGTTTCTCGATGAAAACTTCAAACGATGCTTCAGAGAGTTCTGTATCCCAACATCTTCCACGATCGAACAGCAAAACTCCACCCGAATTCGTCAGAATACTAGAGACCACCCCTCCACTGCCAATACAGTAGACAGGACTAACCATCAGGTATGTAATTTCAGGTACTTACTGGGAGTGATATAAAAATATAATACCTGGTACTAGCCTCAGAGTCTAATCCCTTAGGAGGTCAGCTAGCAAGGGATTGAGCTGAGACCCAAGAATGGAGGGAGGAGGGGACCAAATTCTGATCATAGTGTCAGAAAGGAGATTTGCCCCAAAAGTGTGCTCTTGATATTTGTACACATTGATTTAAGCAGAAACGTGATGATTAGAACTCTATCAAGCTGCTGAAAATTATCTTCCTAGCTTTATCTTCCATGCAAAATAAATGACTTCAGTACATCACAGAAGTGATCCATTTTGGAATCCTTGTTTCCCCCAGAAAGTTTCTGTATTTCAACAATACCATTGCAATATCCCTAAGAACCAACCCAACTCCAATGCTGTAGCTGACCACTGTGACCACCTTCTAGAAAATCATTACCATGGCAAAAGAGAAAACAGAAATTATCATTCCTAACACTTGTTAAAGCTTTGATTTGTAGGTGCTAGTGCACAAACACTGGAACAAATATCAACATATTGACTAATTGCTGGGCCGAAATCTATTTTAAGCGCTCTCCATACCTTTTGGGAATGAAGTAGGGAAAAGCGATTAGAATCCGGACTTGCATTCCTACATCCAGGACAGTAGCTAGAAGGTTCAAATTTTACACACAGTGTTTCAGTCATGCACAAAACAAAGGAGGAGGAAAAACTCTTGTCTCCAAGGTAACACTTCCTGCTAACGCACTGCTTTGCAAACTTTGACATCTAACCTAAAAAGCCAATCAAATATATGCCTTAAATATTACTATTCATTTAAGTAAATAACTTTTTCAAATAATCTTCCCCACACCTAAAAATCAAAATGTGTATAATTTTAAAATATAAAATTTAAGTTCAAATGTCTGTGGAGTAAATGCTTGAGTCAAAATTCTGGCGCAAGCTCCTGTTCTCAAGGGTCAGGGCTATGAGGACAGGGAATCCATAAAAAATGACGTGAGACCTAGAAACAGTCAGTGTGGAGCCTTGGCTCCTGCACCAGGCAGTGCCTCTCTCTTGCTGTGTCCTCACAGTGCCCATCTCTCACTTACCCTCCTTCCCCCACCTCTAGCTACCTAGGCTCACCCTTACTAACTGACCTCAGAACTTAGGTAAAATGGCCTGGGTGGATCTGCCTCAGGGGACATTAATTTTCATTCCTAAATATGAAATATTGTTGCAAACAAAACCCAGGAGCGGGGGCTCCCCAGGGCACATGTGGCAATGGTGGCAGATGTACTTCCAGCTGAAAGGAAATTAAGAACTTTCCTGTCTCACTTCTAATTCCATCTCAGAAATCAAAGCCAGAAAGAAATGGGTTTTTCCTTTGCTTCTTTTAACTGTTTTAATTCATTGTTGGCATCTAGAACCTGTTCCTTCTAAGCAGTGCTCCTTTTTGGTGACTTTTGAACTCTAGCTGGTCACTTTAAAAGGGTAATGATCTAAATTGGTTTTGGTTTTTGGTTTTTTTTTTTTCTTCAACCCAGGAATAACATAATAAAGAATACAGTTTGAAACCATCAGTCCCAAGCTGGGGTTCAAGTCCTTTGCACTGAAATAAAGTATTTTCATTGAAACAAAAAGATGAGCATTAGAAAGTCTGGGCTCTTCCCCCCTCAGAGCCAAGCCCACTAGAGCATGGCTGTGTGGTAGGACACAGGACACTCTGGGGCCTCTTGCCCTGCCTGACCTGCCCTGGCCTTGCTCTCATGGAAACACAGCTCCTGGCCTCCCTGGTGAAGCACATCCCATAAATTAAACATGACTGTCCTTCCGCTTTTCCAACACCTCCTTTGACTCCCTTCCAAATCCTATGTTTGCACATGAGTTTGGTTCTCACACAGGCAGATAGAGGAGAAAGGAAGCTAATTGGAGAAGTTCTGTTCTAAGTAACTAAAAGGTTTGCTTTAAAAAGATATCCAATTAGATAGAGCTTATCTTCATCGCTGCCTCTGTGCAACAGCATTAGTGTCAGATAACAGAGAAAGAAGCACATTAGCCTGGAATTGGCCACTTCCCAAAGGCCCAGCTGGGAGGGCTGGACTGAGAAGGGAGGCTGCCAGAGAAAAAAGAAAAGCCGCTGTGCCATATTTGAAAATTAACAGACATCAAAGATCCCTTTCACTAATCTCTACTGATGTATCTTCTTCAGGATTAAGGCAGCTACATGCAGATGTCTAGAACAGGACAGCCTGTAGTGGTCATTTCAATCATACATTTCAATCAGATCTGAAGGAGAAGTCAGACTGCATGTCTATGTCAAAGGGAATTATTAGATTAGTTCATACAAAGTCAGAATGTGATAAGCAGGTGTTGTGTCATTGTAGGCTTCGCGTTTATTCATTCATTTGTTTTACATTAGGAGCCATCCTCTTAGGAAATAAGAGTAATTGGATTGCTCCAACTTTTCAGATGCCTGTTAGAAGTGTTGGAAGCTTGTCATGGTGATTGGTGTTTATGTTATATTTGTATCTTCTTCAAGAAAATATTTTCCCCTCTATGTGTCACATGTCCACCACAGTAGTCAGCTTCATATTCTGCAGATCGGAGATACAATGTGAAACCTTCCCAAGGTGTCTGTATTCTGACAGCTGTACTCGGAAGCCATATCCACACGGCACAAAATGAAGTGATGATGTGGTAGTTATTAAGGTAACGTGATGAGCCAGATGAGGAAGGTCTGTGCCCAACACAATCTTTAAGCCATACGCTGTAGCTAAAGGCATCCCATTCTGGTTTTCTTTTTTTAAAAAAAAAATCATTCCAAAATCTAGAGGCTTCAGACAATCATTTACGTAGACCGTGTGCATCAGTAATTTGGGTCATACTTGCCTAACTTTCCTTTCACTTTTAGCTGATTTCCCTCTAGCCACCAACAAGGTTGTCAGGCAACAGATTCAAGACGACCACAGAGGGAATACCTGGGTACACAGACATGCTCTAGCATGCTAGCCCAAGCTTGTCTTCAGGGTGGCCACGGGGTCTGAGGGAGAGAGAAGAAAGCAAGTACCCACAAGCTTGGTTATAGAAACAGCACCAAGAGGGCTGGTGAGGTGGCTCAGTGGCTGAAGAACTTGCTACACAAACACGAGGACCAGAATTTGAATCTGTAGATCTTGGTTGCTGGGTAACTGTGACAGCTTGCCATGTTTCTAGCACTCAGAAGGCAGAGACAGGGGATCCCCAGAGAAAGCTAGCTAGACACTAGCGATACTGCTGAGATCTGGATTCAATTAAGAGATTCTGCCTCAATGAATAAGATGGAGAACCACCTAGGAAGATTCCTAGCATCAACTGTAGGCCTTCACATTCACCTGTACCTGAACACACATGTACACCCATATACATGTGAACACACACATGCACATTTTTTTGACGTGGTGGTACATACTTTTAAATTGTTTCATTTATTTTTAATATTTATTAATTATTTATTTATTAACCACATACTTAGAAGAAGAATTTCATTACCAGTGATTAGACACAGGGTAGGTTTGAATTTTTTAAAATTATTTATTTAATAACCACATACTTAGAAGACACATTTCATTACAACAGCATTGACATATTCAATAACAATTTCCTGAGCTAAGATGCATCTCTTTCAAAATTGGTTGTAAATATTTAGGTTTACAGTTGAATTATTACAGTTATACAATATCGTACTCAGTATAAACCCTGAAAGACATAAAATTAAATGAGGTTTTAATCTTTAAAAAAGATCTCCATTTCAATATTAAAATATAGTTTCATACAGAAAAATTCATTTTTAATGCAACTGATATTAAGATGCTTACACATGCATTTCTAATCTCTATATATCTGATTATTACTAGTCATGATCGGTTACTTTCTGAGCTCCTTGGCATCTGAGCATGGATATAAAGTCATCAGGTAGATTTCAATTGTAATGTTTTTCACATCTACTAATTGTTAAGGAGCAAAGTTTTAGGCTTTGAAAAATTATTATTTATCATTTTTTAAAAATTTTTAATAACTACATGATTAGAAGCATTTCACTACAGCTTTAACATATTCAGTAACACACTCCAGAGCAACAGTACATCTCCTTCACAAGTGGGTGAAGTTTCTAGGTTCACAGTTGAGGTAATAGTTATACAATATTGAACTCAGTATAAGCCCTGTAAGACATAAAATTGAATGAGTTTTTAACCTTTAAAAAAGATCTCCATT